ATTGAAGCGCTAGTGGAAAGCCAAATTGAAGCGCTAGTGGAAAGCCAAATTGAAGCGCTAGTGGAAAGCCAAATTGAAGCGCTAGTGGAAAGCCAGAAAAACGCGGCAAAAGTGCTGTCGAAGGAGCACTACGGGGAATCGGTGAAGAAGCGTGCTTTTGAAGTAGGGAGTCAGGTAATGCTGCTGCAGCCGTTCAAAAAGAACAAGCTTGAGGTTGATTGGGAAGGGCCCGCCACAGTATTATCGAAGCCTTGCGATTCAAATTATGAAGTGAAATTAGGAAGGCGGCCGGACAAAATTTACAACTTGATGAAACCATACGTTCAACATCAAGCGGTCGTAAATCTGTTGTTGAATGCTTCAGAGGAAGAGGAAGCAGAAAATTTGAGTTCTAGTGAGGTGATCGAAAGGGGATCGAAAGTAATCCGGGAGCAGATAAACCTAGAGCCTAGCTTAAGTGAAAGAGGACCTGAGAAAGATTGTTTCCGAGTTTGGGTATGTGTTGTCGGACCGTCCCGGAGACACGACGGTGATCGAACCCGATATCGAGCTAAGCGGTGAGGAGTCAAACAGTAGCAAGCCGTATCGTTGTTCCCCTGTGCAACGTCGAAAGTGTGAGCCGCTCTTGGTGCCGCATAGGTATCGTCGCCTAAAAGTGGCCGGTTACTGAAGTGGAGCATGTTGCTCCACAGCGCAACTTTGACGTTCGCTAAAGAAAAAAAGGAAAGGTAAACGCTAATGCAGGTGCATTGAGCAGTGCGTTCCAGCTAGTAACTTCTCAACCTTTCGGTTTCTCGCTGGCGATTCGGGGCAAAATTTTGACCTCATCACGACCTGGGCTGAGCGCTCTTGTTTAGAGTGATCTCAAGGGGCCAACTTTGGGGTATTCTAATTCGTTACGTTGTTGTACGTGGAAAAAAAATTGAGTTGTCATTTTAAGAGTCTTGTGTCCCACATGTGCCTCTTGATGTAGAGGGAACAAAATTCCGATAGACACGTAGATAGGTATATGTTGTACTATACTTGGTCTGGTGTTCTGTCGGGTGACCGAAGGCACTTGCGTGTGTCGTGTGTTGTCTGTTGTCGATCCGTTCTTGGCAAGTTGCAGAACCATCGACAAGTGCTGAAACCGAAGATGGTCAGAAGAGACGAGTGAAGCTGGTCAGCAAGTTGTGGCGACAAGCCAGTGGAGCTGGGATCCATCGTCAAAAATGGGATGTGTTCCCGGAACAGTTTGGAGCTGTATTCTCCCCATGGCCCTGGAGGCGAACCTGGAGGGACCTGGCGAACGAGCGCACCTGACATCCGAGCCCCGTGGAAGCAGCTCGTCTTTCCGGTGCATTGTCTGGCGGCGGGGGTGCTGTTATGCCAGCGAGTCCTCGTCAAACGTCCGTGCCTCTGAAAAAGGCAATCTGGGTCAAGGCCAGCCCGCAGTCAGCCTGGCGCGATCACCTCGACGGCGTGAACACGCGCGGCGCCCCTCTGGCCCACGTGCAGTGAGTCAGCTGCGCACGTGACAGCGAGCCGGCGTCCTCGTGTCTGGTGGTCTGACGCATGGCGCGGCAACCCCATTGGAGGAATCTGCCCTGACGACCAGCGGCGCTTCTGATTGGACATTTTGGTTGGACCCGGTGTAAATAAAAGAAGCCCTGCGGCGCGTCGCGATCGGCGGTCCTGAGAGAGGAGTCCCCATGTCGGAGAGCCGACATGTGTATGAGTCAGCGGTCTTAGGCGAAAGGCTGATCTATGTGTTAGAGAGGAGAGCTCGGCTCTTCGAGTCTCTGTCGGCCCCAGTGCCGAAATGGTAACGCCTCTGTATATATGCTGTACATAAACCTTGTTTAACTCACCGTCGTCTCTTCCGCTCGTCTTATCAGCTCTGCGCAGAAGCAGTCGTGAGCTGATAAACATACGCTACCAAACGGCTGGTGACCTTCCCGGCGGAGTTGGAAGCAGTGGCGCCTACAGGACCGTGTTGGCGTCGCCGTCTTTCGCAACAGCGGCAAACGCCACGCGCCCGCAATTACGGAGGCCATGCTCTGCGTGTCCAATTTACCACGCTCATAGCTTGTGTAGTTATTTGCGAGCGCTACCAAACACACTTTTTCTCACACGCCTGTTTCTTTCTAAATGAACTCACGTGCAGCCTAAATGCGGATTCAAGTTGTGTGGCAGCCAGGTTCAATGCCGACACGCTTGACAATGCCGGGTATACAGCAGTTTCGATTGGTGAGCTCCGTTTCAATAGTTGAAAAACTTAGCGCTGAGGAAGTAATTAAACAAATTGATAGGCCTAAATATGCTGACGTCATGGAGGAAAGAAACAAATCCTCCGTGCGCTGAAGTCCTGCAGCCATGCACTGCAGCCCTTTAGAAGACATTGTTATCAACTTAAAGGATATCATGCGTCAATAAGTGTTCTTTTTTCGATAAGTTATATAGTAATGAAACAAAAATAATGACGTAACATTCACGCGTTTTTTAATAAATAGGCGCACAATAAAATTCAAAAGCTTTCGGTTTCCGCGTTAGAAGAGTGCAAGTAAACGCCCATTTCTTTTTTTAGTAAACAAGGGTCACATTTCACACTTATGTTTTTGAAAGCGGTATCGAACTTAGAAAATCTCTATGGTATTCAGGGAGATTTAAAAAAAAAGATTGCTCGAGGGAAAATTACTGGTCGAGAGTAGAAAGTTTTCAAATAGCGTACGCAAACTCTAATCGTTGCATACCGACGCGGTCGCTGCCGTTGCACATGCGCCATAACGCTAGCCACCGTTAGCGTTTGCGGTCCGCACGCAAAAGAAAAAAAAAATCCGAAAAGCCGGCGGCCCGCAAAGCTCGTTTGAGATGGCATCGAGCATGCGTTGGCGTTTGCGGGGGACAAACGCTATTCGATAACTGATATGCCGGAACGCAAACGCGAAGCCCGCTACGACCCATACGTTGGTGGGCCATGCCTACCCAAGTATGAATAGTATATTCTAGGGAAGGGTCACTATGGAGGCAATTGAGGCTGCAGCAGCATTTTAAGTAGAGGTAGCAGAGGCTTGATAACTATTGGTGTTAAGCGAAAAACTGGAGTGTTTGCCTCGAACGCCTGACGAGTCTAATGCGGCAACTTTTTCGGGTGAGATTTCCATCTTTGTGTTATTTCTTGAACCTCCTTGAAGGTATCACCATGATGTTTACACCACTATAGTTTACTCTAAGCAGTTGAGTAGCAGATCACACTGTTAACCAAATTATCCCAATTCTTACCTGCGTAGCCGCAAATGAACGCTGGAGCATACAATCGATTGTCGGTTCGATGAACGGACGTCATTGACTCGTAAAGGCTTCATCACACGAATTTTAGGGGTGAAGTTCCTAAAGCCATGGGTCTGTACATTCATGTCTGTGACCGGTTTGTAACCACCTATAGTTGTATGACTCGCTCAGCAGGTGGCGCTAGTGTGAGAAACAGACGGACAGACAGATGCTTTGCCCCACTCATCGTCATTCACTCTCTAATTGTGCTGTGATTTTTCTTTTCTTTTTCCATGCATCACCAAGGCGTCACCACGAAGAGTACAGCTGCACAGAGAGTTGGCTTGCCATCATGGCATATTTCTAAATGAGATGGCCGATAATCTGATGTGGTGGTCGCAAGACGGTCCAATAATGTCCACTGAACCTGCTTACAGCCTTTTGTTACAGTGTCAAGATTCTGGACAATATTACCTCTGAAAGATTTTGTGAAAATTAAATTACCAGTTAAATAACATGACACTCTTTCTTCTGCTCGGTATAATAAAGGGTGTCCCACTCACAAACTGATAGTATATACCAACACTTAATTTTGGTTCATACAGGTCTGGTGTAGTGACATCTCTATGCTCTTACTGTCAAAATCTTGAGCACACTGGCCATTTATTACTGACCTGCCATTATTTCACTAGTTCTTAAGAGCATTTGAATATTTTATACAGGAACTTAATAATTACTTGGAATTCTGAACAAATTCTTTTCATTGGGTTGTTTTCACCAGGCTTCTGCAAACAGAACGTCTGTTCAGCCATATACAAATTTCTTGGCGACACAAGAATTCCTTGATCATATTATTCACGAAACACATTTGGTACTGTGACATTTTCCTCACTAGATGGTTGTATCGCGTGTTATCGTATTACTGCTCATCTTTGTGGCCACAGTCCAGTGATTCTTCAGTTTTTATTTAAACCTTAGGCAGCCGATTTGCTCCTCATCCTTTGTCTCAATTCAAAAATTTTTCCCCTCATATTAACCAGCTGTTTAATGGCCAATACCAACAGCAGGTAGGAGCCAAGAATCAAGAAACGACCAAGCAAGCAAGCCCGAGCTAGCTGAGTGATGTTTTTAGTTTAATTCCCTCCTGCATTGGCCAGTGCACAATCTAGTCAAACCTGTCATAGTCCAAGAGACTGTGGCATGATGTAGTGTCGTTAACGTGCTAAGTAACATGTTGTCTTTATGCTAATTAACATGTTGCCTTTGACTGTAAAATAATTGTAGGTGATAATTAACATGACTATAAAATAAAAATGTCAGTTTCCTTTGCCTTCGAATGATACTTACAATACTGCACAAATATAAATGGCAATGGTAACCAGTTCATGCAATGGTCATGTATCACACAAAATGTGAGTAACTGCGTAATCATGATGTAATCAATGTCCCTTATTGAAGCTCTCATGAGATCATTGCAACTACGACCACGAAACCTGTGATATGCGGAAGATGACACCAGTGTTGTACTCTAATGAAATAACAATAAGCTGGTTTTTTTTTTCAACTAAAGGAATTTTTTTTCCAAAGAGATATAAAGGCAACTTCAGAAAAGTAGTGTGTCCAAAAGACCTTGTTGATTTCACGTTTATATTACGTTAGAGTCTGTGATGTTCACTGAATGTACACCAAGTGCAACAGATGCTACAGCGTTGGTAGAGTAATCAGAACACCGAACAAGAAACACAGGGTACTTTGCAGCATATAGAAATAAATAATGGTTTATTATGACGCATAATATTGGCACTGAAGTCCAATGTGGGTTCAACGACCCCCATATACAATACATATGTATATATTTACACGTAATGGTATAATGTCGCATACCAACACAAGATGATTCAGTGTCCTATCTTACATATGTACACGCACATGAGAGGAGGGGTTACCTCTCATAAGTGAAAGGAGAGATAAGGCAATATAATAAGGAAAGGGAGAAACACTGTCACGCACACGTTTCCACAGCTGCTTCAGATGAAATAAATACAAGCTATATACATCACACGAACATTGGAAAAAAAAGTGCCAAAACCAATGGCAGGAAAACTTCCATTTCTTAAAAACGCATGCCATACAGATATACCTCTTTTGTCGTTAAAAGTAAGAATGAATTATGGTAAGAAATGTACATGCTGAAGTGCTGAAATGAATTTAAAAAAAAGAAAGAGGGAGATGTGACTCATCAGTGCCTGGTGGCTACATGAAGTTTGCCAACTGCAAACTGTGAATAGGTGGTCAGTGCATGTACGCACTGCTGTCGCAAAAAGGAGTGCGTCAACTGACTCCGCAGCCGTTTAAATGAATGCTGTCCTTGATGCTTCATACTTCACACTTTCCCTCGATTTATACGTGCAAACAGCGTCTCTCCCAAGTGTGCTCATTCTTGCACACGTCCTGACCTCTCCTACACAGATACACATGCTATATATATTTTCCTTAAGTACAGTTGACATGCACACACAGAGCATAGAGCGTATACATTTGACATCCATCCCGATGCCACGGAGATGGAAAAGCGGCACTGCAGACATAACATCAGACACGCATAGCCATACACAGTGTACAAACTTCAAAACACATATACAGGCCTCAAATTCAGTGAGAGTTTTTGAGAGCCTCGTTACTTTCTTGCGCGCTGCTAAGGAACAGGCTTTAAATGTGTATAGTGTGTGTGTGTGTGTGTGTGTAGCACTGAGCAAGTGGCAGATCTGAACAGCTAGATACTCTAAGTGCTACACAGGTTTCAAGCGTATAAAGAGAAAAAAAAAAGGGAGAGAAGGCGAGGGCATTGAGAGGGGAAACGAGTTTTTGGAGAGTCTCGCATACATGAAATTTAAAAATGGGAAATGATGTAACCTACACTCTCAGCAATGCATCCATGCCATGATGAACAGGCTGCTGGGGACAACAAACTCTTGGCAAGGATGCAACTGCCCTGTCCAGACAAATGCACGAGTGCCTCATGCATTGCCAATGTTGCCAATGCAAGTGTGCTCACGAAAAAAAAGCAAAAACATTGCCTTCTCTTTCCTTCTGTTTGAGAGGGCAACAGAGAGAAAGAGAAGGTAATGTGCACCAACTTACAAGATTCAAGCCAACTCAGTGTTCAGGCATATGGAACCCTCGTTTAGTGCTGCCGTGCAAATGTCTCGAAACGCATGATGATAATGATGCACGCAAATGGTGTATATTTGTTCTGTGGATGACATTATGCGCTGCCCAGTGGGATTATGTTGCAATGTTGATGATGCTAAGATGAAAGCAAAAAGTATGTGTGCGTATATGCAAAGCGGACACAATATGCACCTTGTGTACACGTATGAACACAAAAGTTAACCACCAACAAACCACACGAAACAGGCTCACAGAGTTCTCCTACAATCGTTACTTCACAAGGGCCAGCCCAGGCAGTGCAGAAGGTGAGAGATGCACCAGGAAAAATCTTGACTGAAGGAGTGAAAGACGCCATAATGGCAGAAAAGAGGGTGTGCTCAAAGAATCTTGTGAGATGTGGCCATGACGATTCTTTGCGTTCCTTACAAACCTAATCTCACCTTAGGCTGTGTACAATGATTGCAGCTCTGTTCTGATCACTCAATAACATGAGTTCCCAATTGCACTTTGCTGTTGCAAGATAGTTTTGCCTTTTGGCAGAAAGAGTGTGCCAATACATAAAAGGTAAATGAGTGTATCATATGATTTCAATTGTAGCATGATTAGATGATGCGCTGCCACTAAAATTCACTAAAAAAGTGTGCAAGAGAAACAAGAATGCATGATTAAATTGGGACCATTTACATTAAAACTAGGGCACTCCAGGCAGCAGTATAGCTAGGCATTCTACTTAGCTCACAAGTTTATGCTTGATATCATAATAAAGTGATAAGTGTAGTGTCTCCAAAATAATGTTGCAAGGACTGAATGAAATCATGAAGCTGTAGGCACTCAGCCTTGCATAAACCATTAAATGGAATAAATTTCAAGAATTACATCTAAAAAATAAGAATTACAGCATTGAAAGTTTGCTTTCAATGAGAAGAGACACTATGAAAAGAATGTAAGCCACAATTCTGCTGCCAGTTGCTCTACGGGCAAATCAAATCACTTGTTTTTTTTCGCTCTCAGCCAAGGTGGACGATGACTTTCACTCAGCATACGTGACCATAGAGATTGCTGTCTAAGTTTCACCAGTTCAGGCAAGTCTGCCTTCTAAACTCTACAGAAAAAAGAAAGGCAGTAAGCGTCCACCACGTTTGGAATGTACCTTGACTTGACAGATCTGACAGAAACCAGCGCCTTTTAGGAACATAGCCTGCATGAAAGTAAACCTTAGCCACGGAAGAATGATATGTCAAAATTAAAGATAATAAAAGATAAAATCAAGTAAAGAATGCAACAGTGAAAATCAGTGGCCCACAAAAGAAGTGCGTCAAATTGTTAAATCTGGTAGAAATAATGCAAGCTACAAAAAAAAAAAACATATATATTCAGCAGACAAGTCTATAGACATAGTCTATTGACATAGTCTACAGACATAGTCTATGGACATGGACAAGCAAGCTTCAAAACAGCACATAACATAATAGAAATGTGTTACGTGTTGGCATACTATAAGACACGTCATAAATCAAAAGAACATTCTGCACAAAGGGCTATATGCAGCAATGGGGGAATTTCGAAGCATATGAAGTTGTCCCTACCATATTCAAGCTGCAGGTGCATAAGCCAAAAGCAATAACACAATAAAAAAAATTACATCAAGTTGATAGCAAGAAAATATGCACAGATGGCAAAGTGGATGATGATGGGTTTTGTTCTAGCAATCAGGAATGAAGCTCTACCCAATGAAGTGTCCTAAAAACAGGCTATCCCTTAATTTTGCCTGAAATTTCGTCGACTCAATAAGAATATTTAGTGCATGATGATTTCGAGAGATCAGCTGAAGAAAACAGGCCATCACCATTTAGGATGCTACTGAAATTTTCCAAAACACCATGTCTTGAAACGATATCAGGCAAGTAAGCATAAAGCTCGACTTATACATGATGCATGCAGTAGGCCGGGATTTCTATGATTATCTAATGCAAATGGGCCATATCTAAGCTAGGTGAAATGCAGGCATCTAGGAGGTTATCCAAGAAAAGGATAAAAGTATAAAAGCAACTGTAAGATAGGATGCTAACTCCTTTTTCACATTACTACACACAAGGCTTATTACTCCTCAATGCTCAAATGTCAGTGTGCTTAGTGTTAGTTTTCATGGTTTCTCTTCAGACTGCACCACGAGCACAAACTATGAATCGCAGTGATTGCCTCTTATGTACACATCTAATTTTCATCAGAGTTTAAAGATGCCTCCATGTAATGTGCAATGCTTCAAATTCAATCGACAAGACCTCTTCCGGCAGTCCCACATTGAAGTGACAGCCAGGGAAATCCCAGATAAAGCTGAGAAAGTGTGTGCCAACGGTGCGGCATACACTAAGAATGGCCTAGAAAGCCACAAGATTGATGTGAACAAAGCACAAAACTGTGTGATGGTCTGAAAGCTTTGCAAGATGCATGCCACTAGACTGAGAGAGTGAGATAGAGAATAAACAACAGAAACACTCGTGGAGATGCAGAGCAAACTCACAGCAATGGCATGAGAGTACAGGGAAGGGTGTGAACGTACTACAGGCGAACCAAAGCAAAACACCGTTTTCCTCCCAGCGAGCACTCTTTTCTTGACACCATCTTTGGCACCATCGCACGCACAAATGGGGGAGAGGAGGGTGAATAGTGAAAGAGAAGATGCTTTCAATTGACACTTGATTATAAGGACTACTAAAAACAATGGCACAAATACTTCCGAAGATCAACACAACACAAAGTGGGTAGTACATGCATGCTTTGTTTTCGCCAGCCTTTCGCGACAGTTCACAATACTAAATATAAAAAAATGCAAATAATACAAGGCCAGCAAAAAAAGAAAGATGCTATAAATGAAATTAAGGATGGGGAGGAGAACATGCGAGGGAATCAAATGAGAAAAAATAATGTGATCAAAGCATTGTAAACAACAAAACCATGGTAAAGCAACATGAACAAACAAACAAAGTGAAGGTAATAAAAACACCCGTATGGAAAGCAATGTCGTTCTGCCACTGCCAACTGACTGCACCCATCTGGATTACGAGTTTGCAACAGCACACAATGCTAGGCATGTGACAAGCGTGCTACAGGTTGTATAGGGTAGCTCGAGAGATGTAACGGTTTTATTTATTGAACAATCGTGCTGACGCACAACCACAAGTTACGGCGCACAGTGACAGCATTGTTCCTGTCCTTTGGTCATCACATGTGCTACGACAAAAGTTGACGATGAAGTTAATTATGATGCAAATTGTGCTGCATGAAGGGAAAAGATTCGCAAAGAGAAACATTCTCATGAACATAAGGCAGCAGTTGCACTGAAAGCTCTTAAGCAAAACCTGGTGCCCAGAAAAAAAAAAATGAAAAAGAAAAATGGCTCGTGCTAATCAGTCTGTCGCCGAGCAAACCAGAAACGAATGGAGACTCGCCAAAAGCAAATGGAACAAGACAACTGCAAAAAATAGTTATCGCTAGAAATTTCACCTTGCCACAGGTACCAACAAACGAGGCTGGAAAAAATTTACAGGTGACAAAAAAAGTACAACTGGCCCACTCTTCATTCGTTCTGTACTACATATAATGAAGTAGGAACAAAACTCTCCACATGAATGATCACGATCTTAAAGGCCAGCAATATCGTAGTGGTGAGGCTCAGTGAAGCTATTTTACATAATTACGTACAAACAAAGAATGAAGCAAAAGATGTGACTAGATGTGGTGATGACCGTCATGGCATAAAATACTTAAAAACAAGCTGGTGACATGAAGAGTCAGCCCAGCTACACACATAAAAAAAAGTGAAAGAAAGATGATTTAAGAAAAAAAAATTTCTTTTGCCATGCGAATATGCATTACCCGCTTGTATACCTTGTGCCGTTACCCTAATACCTTCCTCTTTGAAAAAAACGCTTTGACACTGAAGCAGAAGAGTTGAAAACATATACAAGGCCTGTGTATATTCATGAAATGGGAGAATTCCCAAAGCCAGTAGTGTGCGTAAGTGCAACTTGACATGAATGCAGCGACCCCTAAGTACATTTGTTCAGTGAAAATAGGAAGTAATGAGACTAGCTTTTGAGAATAACTGCAGGAAAATATGTTTGCCATTGAAACCTCAAACTCTCTGAATGCCTCAAATGATATTGTGCTTACACATCAACAATTCATGCCAAAATTGACACTTTAAACTGAATGGACATGACATGAAAAGTAATGTGGCCAGTATTGTCATACTGAAAGTATGTTGCTAGAAGTATAGGCTGAATACACCCCCTTCAATGGTAAACTAATTTCACAATAAACATTCTGCCTAATAACTCTGAATGCCAAAGGTAATCCAATTGATCTCATTAAAAAGATCACTGCTCCAGTGGTCTTGCCAAAATAGCACGAACAGAGCAGCCCACATGCAGCGACTTCGTAGCCACTTTTGACAACCAGATCTCACAGGACTTCGATCATGAAATTCCATGTGCTCATGAGGGAAAAGATTCATCAATACTAGCTCATTTTCATTGACACCCCAAGAGAAATGATAATAGTCAGTGCAACTGCAGCCTTGTCCGCTAGCACAAAAGACCACGGTCATTACACTTGACCATGCTAGAAACTATGTAAGGCATTATTCATTTCAGAAATGTTGTGTTGCATGCTCTCAAGCAGTTTGATTTACCAAACCACAACAAGGCACTCACATAGTTCCAGCAACGATAAAAGGGTACAATGCAGTCGTCAAAATTTCTTTTGCCGCAACGTGTGCTGTTACAAATCGACGACCAGAATGGCTCGGCAGCGACTTGCTAATGTTACTGTCACTACAGCGCGAATGTCAGGCGGTGTGATGGACTGCAACTGGACAGATGTCTGCACGATACATGGCAGGCCTTCAAGTTGTGCGTTCGTTGAAGACGTGCTTCAGCACATCCAAAACACACAGTGGAGCGATTATCGCAGTAACGACGGCCTCTTTCGTCTAAATTGTGAGTGGAGCTCACAGCACCTCTGTGCCGATGACAAAGCAAATGAGGCGTGAGCATCTGCAGCAGTGATTCATAGCCAAAGTGACCCTTTCAGGTGCATGAATAAGCACTATAGACCTGCACACAAAAACCACATAGCTGTTACAGTGACATTCTATGAGAAATCTCATAAAGCTACACTTCCGTGTCAGAACAGATGGAACAACCATTGAGGCTTTCGACGGAAGCCGTCCCGCCCTACAAGCGTGACCCACTTGTGCAGCCTCTATCAGTTGTTTCAACTGCCACCCACACTTCCCTCATGGGCCTTGCAAGGCCTGCCACAGACTATCTATTCACGTGCCCTGCCAATGCCTAAAGAATGCTGAGAACACAGAATCTCCACAGTGTGTTCTTTAGCAGCATTAAGTAAGTGTGCTACTACAAGGACCTCACGGCAGCAGGTGTGTCACATCAGGACCAACACAAACGCACGGTGCACTCTGTTGGGCCTTCTTTTTTTTTTTTGCCAGTGCAATGGCCCCTGTCGTGTGGTGTGGCTGATGGGAGTGAAGCAGCCCAGCTGGTGCCTGCGAGAAGCCCGCCATCTTGCATGGCGAGCGAACAGGAACATTGGTGATGGCAGAAGGCGAGGAATGGGAGGAACCCCTTCACCCCCTTGACCGCCGTGTCGGTGCGGAAAACCCCTGAGACCTTTGAGCTCTCAGGTGGCCCAGTGCTAGCATGCAGTAGTCCGGTTTCCAAGCTGCGGAAAGCACATGCGTCCATTCACAATGCTCCCGTTGGACAGGTTGCTCACCTTACTCCCCTTGCTCCCATCGGAGGGAGGGAGCTCGTCACCTGACCGCTGCTGCTGTTGCTGTTCCTCACGCAGAGGAGAATTATGTCCACAATGCGACGGTACCATGAACACTGACACGGGCGGGTCACCAGCAGCCAAGCCCAAGGCTAGATCGGCCGCGTCCATGTCGGGATCATCGTCGTCTTCTATCTCGTCAGAGAAACATCGCTGCAGGTGGTCTTCATCCATGTCGTTGAGTGACGACACGTCTGGCATAAAGCCACGAGGCCGCTGCTCCGAAGCGGTGCTCGGAGCGTTGCAGAGCGGAGTCTCTGCTGTCAAGTTCTCCTCCTCTTCTTCCTCGTCGAAGTCGCCAGCTGTGGCACCAGCACCATTCTTGTCTGTAGGCACCGAGGAGCGCCTCTCCTGGTGCTTGAGGTGGCAGGTGTGGTAGAAGGAGACCTCCTTAAAGTGAGGTCCCACGTCATTCAAGAGCATCTCGATGACTTGCGTGAAATTTGGTCTTGATCGTGGGATGCGCTCCCAGCACAGCTTCATGATCTGGTACCTGTGAAATCGCGAGAATAGAACTTTTACAGATTTGGACTTGGTCAAGAAAAACATTAGAGTTTCATTTCTGCCTTCTTTTTTCAGAACGTATTAAGAATGTCTCAAGCAATAAAGTATTTCTTTTATGCTTTCTTAATAATTAAATCGTGTCAGACATTTCAATTTGTTTTCACAGTCTTGCCATGATTCAGGTGAGGTTTTACTAAGAAATATCTGTACTTTCAATTCGAAATAGTAAAACGAATAAGACTATTTCACAAAAGCACCTGATACACTGCAAACCATATTCAGTGTTTCATAACAGAACAACAAAAAAATGACACGAGAAAATGAAGGTTGAACAAGATATGACAAATCCTTTCTATGTGATCTCTTTTGATTTGTGTGTGAGTGAACAAACAACCATTATGACAAAGGAAGCTAAGATTATGAAAAAATCCTACTTACAATTTCTCAGGGCAGTTTTCTGGCTTTTCCATGATACCGCCACTGATGACATACTTTAGGACCTGCTCATTAGACAAACCTTGGTAAGGCTGGGAGGCCAGTGTTGCCATCTCCCACAACACTACTCCATATGACCTGCAAGCAGAGCAAAATTCCAGTGATGTCAAAGATGGTCTTCGAGGGTAATTATCCAAAGCCTCTCAAGCATGAAATTTTTGCTTTAAAGAAATTAAAGTATGCGCGCCATTTCCAATGGATTGTATAATTAACAAGATATGTGAACTGCACAAAGAGGAAAATGGATACTATAGCTAAAGATAAGATTACACAGAAAAAAAAAATAAGCGTCTCATAAAAAGTGACACATTCAATATAAGGAGATTAGGCAGAAAGATAAGAAAGCTGAATGGACACATCTGTACCAAGGTGCAGTGTTCCTTTATTAATAACATGGGTAAAATTAATTATGTTAATGAACACGTGACTAATAAAGGTTCGCCACCACCACTGCACTCCTGGCGGCATTTTGAATGAACAGTGTTTAGCTCAAGTGCAGAACCTAAGCTGCGAGTATTAGTAATAGCATATTGTTACAAATACAGGTGCATAGACATTCTGAATGTAGTGATTATCACTCTTTATTCAAAGGGACACTGAAGTAAAATAATGAATCAGTTTAGATTGATAAAGTATACTCTAATAAGCGTAATGTTGCTGCTTTTATCATCGTAAGTTTGTAAACAGAGAAGAAAATCAAGGAGAAAGTTTTATTTTTAAATTTAATGCCGAAATCTCGGTGCGTGATGTGATGGGTTTCAAGTGTTGTTGTTTTTTTTCTGTGTGCATTTTGGCCCCGTTTATTGAACAAGCTTTCTTGATGCTTGGTATGTCAAGTCCCTGGCTGCCTCGAAAGTCAACAAAGTTATTTTTCATTGATTAGGAACTACGTAGACTCCAGTAGGCACCGTCAAAATCTATGACATTTGAGCGACTTCGAAGTGAAGTCCCCACCTGAATTTTCCTTTCATGCGTTTTATCATTTTTCTAAATGTCGTCTCGCAACAAATGTGGTACTTTTCATATTGTGAAAGGGTAATTCACGAATGCGAGAAAAGTAATTTTTCTCGTTAGTGTCCTTTTTAGGAGTTAAACATAAGAACCCAAATTAAGCTAATTTAACAAGCTGGACACTGTGGACATCAAAGCACTTATGGAAAATGGTTCATTTTTGTTTTTAATAGGCCCTCCGGGAGTGGATTACGATAGACTGATTGCGAAGTTGTCAAAGTCCTAGAACGTATTTATAAGGCACTTGATATTAGACTCCAAGACAGAAAACGAAGTAATATGTTGTTTTGAGTGAGGTTTAGTAATGAATTGTAATTAACATGTAATAAAAGATTTAATTATGATAGACTCTGAGCAAACAGAAATCTGTTAAACAGACCTGCTGCTTGACTGGAACATCTGCCTCCAGCACGATTGGTTTCATACTTGAATTGGAACCACCCTTTTTCATCTCTCAGTAAATGAAACTATATTGTCATTTTCCTCGTCCCTTCAGGTTCCATTTCACGAGTCTACTGTATTTTGCAGTCAATAATGCTTCATTTGTAAATAAAAAAAATAAAGCTGTAGTATCAAAATACATATGCAATTTGTTTTTGATTAAATTAACTTAGACCCAAGAGAAATAATATGTTAGACGCTGGTCTTGTAACGCTGCACGCCAACCAAACCATCGAAAATCATGAGTGCCTTCATCAAAGCCTGTGGCAGCAGCCACGCACAGCACATTGAGGTTAAAGGAGGACACAGTGGTTATGAAGGTTCACTTCATCTTGTGCGCAATGCATCTCGCTACGTAATGGCCACTAGTCCTAAGAACTGTCAAAAAACATGTTGCATCCAAACATGTCCGCCTCAAAGGGACGGTAAACAAGCCACTGACCACACATCCGAGTGGCTGGTGAAAATTCCATCCTTGAGCGATTCAGGGGCCATCCAGCGTACGGGGAGCAGGCCCTTGCCCCCTTTTCTGTAGTAGTCTGTTTCGTAAATGTCTCGTGTCATGCCGAAGTCACCAATCTTGACCGTCAGGTCTTCCGCCACCATGCAGTTACGAGCGGCCAGATCCCGGTGCACAAACTTGTTCGCTGTCAGGTACGCCATTCCATCTGCTATCTCGGCTGCCATCTGTAGGATCTGCTTGAGCGTGGGAGGAGCGCCTCGTGGTCGAGTGGCCTCATCGTTAGGCTGGTGTGTGAAACAGAAGAAGAAGCGTGCAAATATGTAATTACGTAATGAAAGAACAATATACAATGCACTACAGTGCAATACAGATTTATTTCCAGAAATACGAGAGTTTAGTGGTGCAGTGAAACCTCAATGATACGAATTCGAAGGGAGTACACAAAATATTCGTATCATCTCAAATTCGTATGAACCAAAAACAAGTTAAAACTGATAATGAAGATTAACAAGAACCTCATTGGCAATTACTTCTTGCTGAAGAAGTCGATAATGTTTCTTTTAACTTTCCTGCCTTCACCGTCTGCTCTATAAAGTGCCATGGTTTCCTCACTCATGCTGCTGGCACGAGGCGTTTACACTTGACACCGAAGGAAGCGAATGTGGCCAAACTCATTGGAAATGCACACACTTCGCCACGCCTAAGTGGCCGCAGAACAAGCCGCAAAGACGACGCGGAAAAAAATCAATCCCGAAGAATTCACACTGGGGAGTTCAAGCGAAAACGCCAGAGCGACCAGAAAACCAGGTCCACGTCCGTCGAGAACGTTCACATTCGTTCTGGCCTGCGTACATGTCACCACCGCCGCTGACACAGCTGCTTGAGAATTCATTCCATTTTGCCCGTTTCCTCAGCATTAAAGTTCGCACCGAGTTCTAATTATAGGTACGTGCAAAGCAGAGAAAAGAAGCAGTTTGCACCTTTACAAATGTTGCCTTGTAAGATATGCCAGCAGAAACGACACGAGTGGACGCAGTGGTGGCGACAGATTCAGCCGGCAGAGTAACAACGAGACATGTTTGGACGTGCCGATTCCCTGCTGCTGCATTTCTACTTCCAGTGTTCTCAGCGATTGTAATTCAAAGCAGGCTCTTTATTAACGCGTCTTCATCAAGGCCGTGAGCTTTGACGTGCTGCATGAACAGTTTGCGATAGCGCTTGCGCGATCGCCGGCACGTTGAGTTTGCGGCTGGTTGTTTCCATCTCATGGTTTGAGAGCTAGAGCAGCTGGTGTAGCTAAAGCCAAAAGCGATCTGCTATAGCGGGAAAATTGGTCTCAAACCCATTTTTCGGCTTCAGCTTCACGGTGTGCCAGCCACTAAAGCGAGAAAAGTTCTGTCTAAATTTGCCGCATTCACTCTCTTTGAGGACGAGAGTGAACGCGCCTTCCTCCCACGAACAAGCAGCATTGCGCCGCTTGCGTGCAGCGGTCAATCAAATATTCATATCATCTGTGGTGAGTATAGCACCGAATCACGGCGTACTTTATATAATGTAGTCTATCCAAAACAACCTTAGAATTCGTATCACAGCAAAATTGGCATAAACCGTAATCGTATCATCGAGATTATGCTGTACTATTGGCTAAAAGCTGTTGTAAAAACACCTTGACTGGCTGATTATCCATTAGAAGGCGCACGATGGTTACATGAAAAAATATAGTAACATTGTTAGACACTCAAAATAAAGCAATAATTGACACAAATGCAAAAAAACCAAAATAACATAAAGACCAATAAAAAGCATATTTGATACATAAGAAAGAAATATATGTAGTGAATGTGTTTTCTGCCTTTATATGATGTCAGCCTTGTTTAGTACTTTCGTGTAAATATTTCATTTTGAGTGTCTAACAATACGATTCGCATCCTCCTCATCTGTACTTATCTTCAACAAGAGTACATATTCCCGATCTGTACAGTTTATCAGTAACCAGTATTTTCTTCTTTGTTCTTACAGCTTGAGCTTGTAGAGGAAAAGTGTAGTTTTTCATGGCACCAGTAAATCTATCTTGTATTGGTTACTTATTGCCTGCAATCAGTCCATTTTTTGCAAATCTGACAATCCGATGTAGGGGGGTCGACTTAAAATCAAAACCAAATCGTGTACCGCTAGTAACCGACACAGAATTGAGAAATCAGGGGCGCTATGTCGCGGTTACAACTTTCCACCTACGTTTCCATGGTTACGGTAAAAGCGTAGCATATTAATTTACCGTATCGCATACATTTTGACATCAATAAAGGTGATGCTGACTCTGAAAGAAGTTGGCCATTGTACTTGGAGCATTAAGGCTTCTACTGTCGCTTCCAGAAGTGTACTGAACAACGCCACAAGGCGATGTCACCACAAGGCGAATGGCGGGTATTTATAGCCGACGGAAGAGCCAGGGAACAGCTTCTTTTTGTAATAGCATTTTTTAAGAAGCCACGTTGCAGCGTGTTTCTGTCACTTTTGCTGCTATGTTTTGCTGAATCGTTGCGCCTGTCGGTGCTCTTCAACGGCAGCGTTCGAACGGGCTGCTTGACCACAGCAGCTATGACGGCAGCAATACCAGTGAGGACGACTCCAGCAACGATGAGTAGTCTTTGTGAATAAATTTTCGTTTTGTGAACTGCGCTAACATTTTTTTTTTCCTTTTGGGGGACACCCGATTTTGGGTCTGTCGACCTACATTCGAATCGACTTGCAATCGTGTAAATACGGTATGTGCACTTCTTGTTATGCTAACCTAACATGGAGCCAACCTAACAGCACTTGCGAATGTTTGTCTGAGCAGGTTGCTACGGCTGGTTCATTTCAAGTCATCAACCGAAGGCACAGACACTACTCACATCATTGTCCGGCCTGTGTGAGCGTAGGTAAGTCTTCAGGTCACCGTTCAGCATGAGTTCCATTAGGACAAACACAGGCTGGTCCTTGGACACCACACCTAGCAGTTTGACGACATGCTGACAACTGAAGGCCCTGCAAATGGGCACAGACAAAAAACTTGTACACATTGACGATACTGCCATATATACAGAGGCATTTTAAGAAAAAAGCAGTTGAGCAGGCAACTGTTTATCACTATAGGCACTTGATAAAGATGCAGTGCTCATGACTTGAAACAGAACAATATAAGGCTAAGTAATTACCGTGTTCGCATTTAAACCATCTTCATTTCATCTGGCATCTGCGCAATTTTAACTCAAACACTTACAACAGGTCCAGAGTTACCTTCTGTGGACACATTCTTGACGACATGACGAAGTTATACCAGACAATGGTACTAAATGTTTTGACATCTCATTTCAGTTTGTGACCAGTATACATACCGCATGCACAGTCAGTGAATGTTTCTGATAGAGCTGTGCCAACAGGAAAGCTTTTGGTGCGAAGCCGTGTGCAGAGAACATGCAAGTTACATGCTTTAGCCACTCGATTAGAGCATTGAAAAATCCACACAGCAGTCATGCGCGCACATGTTGATGTAAAAGCAACAGCGGGTGGCACAAGCACAGCTGTACTTACTTCATGACGGATGCCTCTTGGAGGAATTCTATTCGTTCACGCATTGAGGCACTTTCATTGACCGTCTGAAAATGAGGAAATGGGAGTGCAATGAGCACAAACAAAAGTGCATCTTTACAGGTGCTTACTAGACACTTTCGCTTTTTCAAAACACGAAAAATCTCGCCCAGAGCCGTGGGTCTCGTGATAGACTGCTACAATCTACAACTCGTTACAACAGACCTGTACCTGTGTACAATGGACTTCAGGATAAACTGGACCTATATTGGACCCTGGATTTGACCAGCTGTTTTAACAATGAAACAAACATTGCTTTTCACGAACCACGTTACTATGATCACAGTGGACAAAAACAGCGACATGTATTTTCAAACTTGGTGCATAAAACATACTATTGTCGTGACAACACGAGCTGACAGCATATTTGACCAAGCTGCCAGCTTCAAGCCTGCCAAGTTTAAATGTGCAACTGTAAACATTAGTGGCCTCTAGCCACAGTAATGTTCCGTGCTACGCCAATGAATTTCCATTCAGGTCATGAAAATTCTCTATTTCGGGGATTTTTCCCTGCAACGATTGACGAAATTCCCAGACTATTTCTCTGCACAACAGTACTAATTTCCGCCCCCATCCACAAACACACATACTGTAATTACACGTGCCTGACATACTGACGACTTTTGAAATCACGAGTTCATGACTTGTCCCTCCTTTGGCGCATAACGAAAGCATGACTTTATTATAAATTCATATACTGTTAATACACTGCACATTGTGGGCTTCAAGTCTAAGAGCAATATTGTAAATATCAAAAACAAATCTCAAGGGCTATGCTTGCGTGGTGCATGCACCAGAGCCAATTACTGCAGATGAAAGTGCACATTGACTGCTAATTATGGGTCGTTATATGAGAATTTAACCACTCCTAAAATTCCCTGCAATATCACGAAGATTCCCTTTATCCCTTTGGCTCAAAATGACAGGAGAAAATTGCCCAAAAAAGGGTTAATTTCCTGCACAAAACATCACTGTCTAGCCAAGTCAGTCTCAGTTGACATTATCGATCTTGTGGCATGTAGGCAGTATTAGCTGACGTGCTTTCATGATAGCCAGCTGGAGCCAATTCTTGAGCAGATCCCTCGCAAAGATACTTTTACTTTTGTGAGACTCCCTGAATAAAACGCCAGACATGTCAATAGACCACAGAAGTCTCACACTGTGCCAACCATGCCCATACAATGAGCCAGACATGTTATCACTTGTAATATAATATGATGTGGAATGCCCGAACACAAGCCACAAACGGGTGGTTGTGTTCTTTCCCTTTCTTAATCCTTCTGCCACCTTGCGGGTTACTGCAGAACTCATTTTCAGTACCCTTTGATTCTACATTTGCATATTGAAAGTGGTGTCTCAAGAAGATTTAAATGCAACAGTATTTCAGCCATTAGCGACTTCAAATAAAGTAGATTCATTATTGTCAGATAACAGCAATAATTGTCCAGGTTTTACATTTCAAAACTATGATGATTATGAGGAATGATGCAAAGGAGGGCTCCGGAAATTTTCACCTTACGGTGTTTTTTAATGTGCCCCACAATATAAAAAAACGAGCCACTAGCATTCCGCTTTTATCAAAATGTTGCCACCATGACCCTGATTCGAACCTGTGTCTTTCGGGTAAGTCTTCGAAGTGACATAACCACTAAACCACTGTGGCAGGTGTCAGTTGGAATATCTCGGTCCGTTGTTACGAGAGCAGATTGTATCAGGTAACACATTCTTGATAGATCACTTTTGGGAGAAGCTGATTGGCTAAATCAAAGCACAGAATGTTCTGGTTATGCCAATCAGCATCCCCCAAAAGTGTAGGTGTCATGAAAACTGATCAATTAAAACACGGCCCCAGGATATAAACACACCATCATCTGGTAACATGCAACTAGGTACTTATTTTGACACAATGACAACACATCTCAAGGGCTTTTCAAATTTCTTTGAAAGACCCCAGACGGCATTCACACAGTGTTGCAAAAACCTTGTTTTAAAGCCTGAGAATTTCTGCGTATGGAGTTACAAAGAATTCTGGACTTATATGAATGCTTATAAAAAGATGTTACAAAGAGGTTGTAAAAAAATGCCTATTACATTCCTTTCAGCAGGCAGTAAAGATTTACCTCATTGATTCTTGAAGTCACTTTCACACTGCCCCCCAGTATTATAGCTGAACTTGGACACGATGCTGTAAACTTGTAGAACAGTACATTCATTCATTCATCATTAGTTACAAAGCTTTCAGGAAACATCGCGTGAATATAATTGACAAATTTTGAAACACAGCAATGATGCACCTAATTTTACATGATGTTAATTTAGCAAATAATTGGAAACAAAAAGTGCTCACAATATATGAAGCATGACTGGAATACTAACAAGTGAAATAAATACCTACTGTGCAATGAAAATTTTACATTTAGACCTGCATTTCAACTTATATCATCAATATTTCATTGCAGTAGAAGCGAAGTTTTGTTGCAGTGAAATCACAGCATTACACTGAGGTTAAAGAATATACTGAGGTGTTTATAAACATGAAGTTATAAAGAGCTAAAAACTTCGTTATCTAACTGTTTCTAAAAAAAGTTAATAAAAGACAAGGAGATAATGAAAACCAGAACAGTGCAAACATTCCAACATTAAAAAAGAAAATATACTTTTTAGATTACATATTCATAATACAGCTGAACCCCGCTACAACGAAACTGACGGGGCACGGAAAAAATTTCGCTGAAGAGAAAATTTCGTTGTAACGAAATCGAACAAATATAGCTGATCTAAACTAGCAAAACAAAGGAACAGTATTCCCAAAATTAAAAAAATGTTTGCTGCTTCCTGTTCTTTCCCAGCAGCATCACAACGTCATTCTGACCCATGCATAGTGAGGCCATGGTGAAAAGCACACTGAAACAACCCCTAAAACCGCCTTCATTAACGAACCAAAGTTGCATTAACACATTAAAACCAGCACCTGTCCGCTGTCAAAAGTATCCGACAACGCCGAGATGAACGCAGGGTATCGTGCAGCGGCGACTTTCGCATTATTCTATGCCATTCTTATCATCCATCACTTGCGGCTAGCTGATTTTGTTGGTAATGGCAGACGAACAACCATTCTGATTAATTACCACACTGGCCAAGCGCGAACATAATGATAAGCATCGGAATCGGAAAAAAGCATCATTCCGCGGTTGCACCCAGCAGCTGCGTGAAAGAAACCATTAACCGAGTGACTGAGCTTCAGCTGCGGATCGTCTGCGGCTCAAAAGCAAGCCAGTGGCAAAAGCAGGGCCAGGGCAGTCTCATTGCCATCGCTATCGAGCAATGGCGGCGCCCACGCTTGCTGAACAGCGGCGGTTTCTGGTGGTGCCAACGTGTGTTTTAGACTTCGTTGACGCATTTTCAGGCTCTGAAAATGCGTCAGGCTCTTGTCGTGCCCGAGATGGTCGGCTCCATCGTCGGCGTCTAGAACGGCAAGGCTTTCAACCAGGTCGAAATCAAGCCTGAAATGATTGGCCACTACCTCGGAGAGTTCAGCATCATCTACAAGCCTGTGAAGCATGGTAGGCCCGGTATTGGTGCTACACATTCTTCTCGCTTCATCCCTCTGAAGTAGACTAATAAACTTGAAGTAGACTAAAATGCATCGAAATGTTAAATATTGAGTTTACTGCATAGCAATAAGTATCTGAGCCTAGAATTGCATCGTAAAGTTTTGTTAAAGCGGGACTCAAAAAAAAAAAAAAGTGTTCGTTGTGGTGAAAATATTTATGCATTGACTCCTATGGACTACAGACGGGGAATCGTGAATTTTTCGTTGTAGCGGAAATTTAGTTGAAACGGCGTTTGTTGTAGTGGAGTTTGACTGTGTTGCGCCTATAACCAGCAGTGTGGTTAGCAAGTACTACTTAAAAAAAGGCCATGTCGCTGTCGCCAACCAAATTGCGGTTTTCAGCGAAACACAGAAGTACAGTCGCCGACCGTTTATTTGGACGCCGAAAATTCGGACATGCCGTTTATTCGGACATCTTCATGGCACCCCCACTCTCCCCATTGATCCTAATGTAAACTCACGACCGAAAATTCGGACGCCCCACTGTGCGCCATTCGACTATTCGGACTGCGTTTGACTGACCGGATGTGTCTCCGTACATCATTAAACACTGACAGCGACGTTAACAATACGTTTTCCAGGTTGCCAGCACTGATATGCTGCACTAGCTATGGATGGATGTCGGGCCAGTGTCAAAATGCACGCAGAAATCGCCAGTGCCGATCTCGAAGGCTATGTGTGGCGACGCTTTTTATTTTTTAGCCAGTCGAGCGGCCAAGCGAAGCCACCTACAGAGTCCGTTCGCTGTGGCGTTTGGCGTGTGTCAGCAGTGTCAGCTGCTTCTGCGGCTAGGCCTGGTTCGTCTTGTTCTCTGTGTTCTCGCTCTCTTGCGTGTTCCGTGGCGTGCTGAAATGGCTCCGACGCCACTCGTTGCCGCGCCCTCGGGAGTGAATAAGCGCGGCCAACGTAGGAGCTACAAAGACGCTCACGATGACAAAGAAAGCGGAGATAGTTCGCCAGGTAGAAGGCGGCCGACCTCAGTCTGAAGTGGCTTGAGAATTTTCTAATTACCAAGCAAACCGTCTTGAAAGCGTGCGTGTGTGCAGACATGACAGTTTTTTCGGGCGATAGGGCCTATAAAAGTGCTTTTTTTTTTTTTTAGTGAATCTGTTTTTTCGGACTCCCGATTATTCAGATTTTTGGCGGTTCCCGTTGAGTCCGAATAAACGGTCGGCGACTGTAATTGTTCTGTTGTGCACACGCATGTACAAAAATACAATTGTAAAAAAATATTTCATGGCAATATGAGCTCTAGAAGTCACTGCCGTAAACCCCACCCACCGCCGGAAACCGCCGTTTTGCTATGACATGTGTGACGTCATGTCTTTTATGGAGCAGAGCCACTGTCTTCTTTCAAACTTTAAGCCACAGCAAACTGTTTATTCACAATGTCACAATTTTCAGTGCCAAACTGAAGAAAGCTCTAATAGCTATATTCTGATCAAGAGATGATATTATTGGTCGAAACTCACATGCTTGCAAAACAATCGGCTTGTTACGTCACAGCTCAAGAGTGCACCGCTGTTGTCAGACTCTCAAGTCACTCACGTGTTTATAAAGATGCTCACTATAAATTAAGTTTCCGACCAAATGTGCTGAAATTTCACCAGCCTGTTTGTGAACACCCATGGATTAACTCACGTGCCTCAGATTATGAACAAAAATTTAGTGTCATGGCCCCTTTAATGTTTCTCTTAAATGTTAATGCTAAGAAAATAAAAAGGAAAACATAAGCAAATATTAAAACATTAACTGAAACAAAGGTACAGTTATATTACATACTCATAATACATAAAACGTCTGTAGACAAACAAGAATTGACAAAATAAGTAGATTTAATATAGGGTCATGTTTGTTCTAGTATATATACCCATAACAGAAAAGTAAACACCACATATTTAGTGCTTATTCAAAGAAGTAAGAAATCATTGTAACTGTTAGCACATTTGGAAATATGAGTTGTATTACTAAAATGAGGAACCGACAGGGCCCAAAAGAAGCCGGCAAGATCTCAAACCAAAATAGGCAAGCGAATCTCGAGCTCGGGCCACGAGAAGAGCTGGCAGCGTGGCTGTAGCACTGGGCATTCCCTCTTCACTGCAATTGCTCCCCTAAGGGATGTGGGGGAGAAAAGTGCTAATCCAGGTGTTCTTGCTTTGCTTAGAAGCCATGTCACAGCCTGCTGGGGATGAAAGTACTTGGTCAAAGACAGATAGGCAGGCAGCATTTTTGGTTGACGCAAACGAATCTAAAAGTGTGTCGGCGTCACTGTGGTGTGGCTAGATGAGTAGACAAAGAGCATATTGATATTCTGCAACCCCAATTTCCAGCAAGCTAATCGGCCACAGGGGTTCTTCAATGTGGACAGCCAACAAATTGTATGACACTCATTACTAGGTCGCAGAGAAGGCCATCAAGGTAAGGTCTGAATTTACCGACTGCCAGATTATGGCCACACAATCGTTTTCCAGGTCAGTACAATTCAACTTGGTGTTAGTGAAGGTACCACTTGCGTATACGTGTTCATAGTATCCAGATGTTCATTATGTCAGCACAGCGTCGAGTCGAGCACTGCTGGTGTTGGTGTCTACATACTTCGATCAGAAAAGTCGGGTCAAAGTGACGCAGTATCAGCGGCAAGTTTAGGAGACGAAGCAACTTCTTGAAGGTAGTGTCACAAATGGTTGACAAGGCTTGCTTTTTTTTTTTTTGCTGTTTCGTAATGATTGGATTTAAGAGAGTGGTGATGGACAAAAAACTGCAAATTAAGCAGCAAAATTAACAACAGAGGCCAAGGAAGGCGTGACGTATGTAGTCTTTCAGAAAGGTAACTTCGGCACAATCTACAACCACGCTGTGTTTTCTGTCATCCGGGTGAACAGCACCTCCGAATACCACGTAGCTGAGTTGTAACAAAGTAGCATTATTCAGGTGGAGATCTTGGTGTATGTAGATTGTCACTGTGTGCAACGATGTACTGGCAAAAGTGAACAGTTTTGAGGCGATGGCAAGCACCAATCAACCAGAGGGCAGCAATCTGAGCATGAAGATGTCTGGCTGGAGTTTCCAAGTGTGAAGGACGACAGGCATAGTGTAACATACAATGGGTACAGTGAAACATAGGTTTGAAGCAGCAAGACAGCAGGACAATATGCAGTGATTGCATAATGGTTCTACATGGCCAGGTAGATGATACACATTGGTCAATTGCTGCAGAGCACCATCAACAACTGCACTGTGCGTATGTCGACTGAACAAGCCATAAGTTAGACACGGTGGCATGCCTTGCGTAAACAGCTGGAAATTCTGAGGGGGTGGCCGTGCGACAACTGAACGAAGCCCGTTGGTGCATTTAGCTTTGGGTAGGTGATGAATGTCGGCATCAATGCAGTTTTGCGGAGAAAATGCAAAGCTACAGAAACTTCCACCTCAATGACTTGGCGAAGGTTTGCAGGCAAAGGTGCGAGCAGTTTCCCAGCTGTAGATAGCAGCCAATGAATGATGAGCAACTTCAGCATAAATGAACTCCTCTATGTGGCAAAGAAATGCTTCAAGTACAGGTGCGGTGGCAATGCTCAAGGCTTTATCGGGACACAAGTGGGTGCTACTAGAGATGCTCATTGGAGCTTCGGTGGAGCTCATCAAAACGAACGACTGACTGTGGGGCTTGTCGAAACCCTGGCAGAGCTGTCATCCCATGAAAAATAGTGCCAAGGTTTTTTAACATATGAAAGGCATCATCAGAGACTACAGTCACTGTGCCACATGTTTTATGCCACCTTCAATGTCGGGATGACACACTGCCAAAGGTCGACGCTGTCCTCTATGTAGCAGGTGAACGTTTTGCCAATTCGCTGAGTCAGCTTCAGGGGTGTTGGTTTGTGCGAAGCTTAAACATACCAGGGAAGCAGAAAATTTCCATGGAGCTTGTTCTCAAACGAACCCCCATGAGTAGATTGGCGTTGCAGTCTTTAAACCACAGAATGGTAACATCCGTTAAGTAATAAAATTAGCACAGTTTGGGTCGCCGCAGAGCCGGTGGGCACCTAGTTGGCCTTCGCCTGGCTATCATGCTTTTACCTCTCGCCTCTTTCTTTACATCCCTAACTACACTATACTATACATGGCTATGTTTGCTCTTTTTATTTCCATCTTTTTTATCTCTTTCTATTTTTGTTTTTCTCTCTCCATCGTTCTATCTCTCTCTGTACTCGTTCTATCTTTCTCATTTTCCTCTTTCCCTAAAACCTCTCCTCTTCCTCACTTCCCTTTGATATACTCCACTATACAACACTACACTAGGCTTTGTTAGAATAGCTGAGTGGATAGCTGAGTTGTTATGACACTAGCCTTGAGATCATGGTTTCACAGGCTCGGATCCCACTTTGCCAATAATTTATATCTTTTTTTTTTCTCACCCTTGACAGATACTTGACAGATCTGTGACAGGGTTGTGCACTGTGAGCACACACTACTAACACTGTTAAATTATTCAAATGCCAAGATAGGAAAAAATCGTAAAAAAAAAATCGGCTTCAACCTCATGTACTCGAACAGCAAGACACATGGAGGCACTAAAATAAGATGGGACGCTCACCTTTATGGCACACCTCGTCTCTGGTTTTTCCGGCTTCAAATTGTAGATGAGCCCCTCGTAGACCATGCCAAAAGAGCCCTGGCCCAATGCCTTTACCACTTGAATGGACTCGCGGGGCACTTCCCATTCATCGGGTTCATACACTGCAATAAAGAAGATTGGTCTAAGGCTCCACAGTGACTGTGTCAACAGACACAATGTGGTCATACTTTTATGCACCATTTCATAAAGCATATTTAGTTATTTAACAGCAGAAAAAATACTAATGAGCATGTTCGTAACGCAGTTGTCTAGATTCCAAGCGATACTGCTTGTTTGTACACTTTGTGTATTGAATGAATTTTGTATTTTCAAGTTTTGCATTTTTTGTAACAGTAGATTTTTTTTGCCTGTTATTTTCAAGGTTTTGATATCTGGCACCTTTTTATGCATTTTATCTTATCTTAAGCTACACATCAAGGTAACACAAGCAAGAACACTGGCAAATAATAGATTAATATGAAACCTCATTCTTCAATGAACAGCTACAAGAAATGTCATTAGTGAAACAGTAAACAGTAACAGTGACATACCAATGTGTTAAAGGTAGGCTTGTGCGAATATTTGAATGCTTCAAATATCCGAGCGAATAGTACAATATTTGAATTTGCTTCGATTTGAATTTGAATCATTGAAAAGTTTGAAGCATTCGAAATGAACCAATTGTATATTAGTCCACGTGTAACTCCTGTAAAGGTGGTTTCACTTCAGTAAAGGAGTGCTAAGCCACAAAAAACACCTGAGTATTGAAAATTCGCACTGCCCCGAAACCCCACTTCGAGGTTAGATGAACATGTCGCCCTCATGTGAATTCATTATTTTTTACTTCAAAAGCTTGTTATACCAGCTTATATGCTCTTATTATATTAAATATTCAAAAGTAACATATTTTACAACTTAACAGTTGCATTCTATCATAAGTCAAATTCTTATACCACTCAAAGTTGTTTCCACTTCCTTTAAACAAAAAAAAAAAAAGGCATTTGCACAGGCCTTGTTTAAATTTTAGGAATATACATAATGTACAGGTTACTTAGGTCATTACAAATATGCCCATTTTCTTTTACAACATGTGATATATATTATTTAAATTCGATATGAAATTATTTGACCACAATCACTATTCGCTTCGAATTTGCTTCATTCACTATTTTTTTGCTTAAAATTCACTATTTGCAAAAGCCTCATTAAACATTCTATTAACAAAACTCAGCTGCTTTTCTTTCCTAAAAATTCAATTTTCTTTCCTACTAATTCAATTAAATGTCTTGATATGTGCTGGGGCTGTGCAGTACTGATGCTTGCACACTGCTCACTTGTTTCCACAAATGGCTTGCTTTTTGTGTGTTCTGTGACTCGCATCAATCTGAATGTAAAATTTTTTGTTTAAGTTCAAGCAACATGAACTGCAGCTGTTTGCGAAAAAATATTAATAAAAAAGTTATGAAGTGCCTTTAGCAGCACTTGGGCAACACTGGAAGCATTGCCAAGTATTTTGAAAATTTGTTTAGTACTCACCTGAACTGACATATTCTGGATTAGTTGAAGAGTAAAGAAGCCCATTGGGAACCTCCGGGTTTCGTCTGCAAGATTGTTTTTTTTTTTTAGTTATTTTACGGTGTTAATAATAAAACATAACAAAAGATGCACAACCAAACAACAACATCAAATAGTTTGTCAGAACTACAAATACAACAAGCAGAAGTACACATGCAATCACCAGTGCACATATGTACTGCTCTCGATTCTGAAGCGTATGGTAATGCAATACAGTCGAACCCCGCTAGAACGAAACTGACAGGGCGCGAAAAAAATTTCGTTGTAGTGAAATCGGAAAAAATATCACTGATCTGAGCTAGCAAAACAAAGGAACATTTATTCTCTAAATTCAAAAAATGTCCGCTGCTTCCTATTCTTTCCCAGAAGCGTCACGACGTGATTCTCACCCATGCATAGCGAGGCCACGGTGAAAAGCACGCAGAAACAACACCTAAAACCGCTTTCGTGAATGAACCAAACAGTTACATTAACACGCTAACACCAGCTGTACACCGTCAAAAGTATCCGACAACACCAAGATGGACGCAGGGTATCGTGTAGCGTCGACTTTTGCATTATTTTATGCTATTCTTATCATCCATCACTCGCGGCTAGCTGATTTTGTTGATAATGCGGACGAACAGCAGCTCTGGTTAGTTATACTACACTGGCCAAGCACGAACATGATTAGCATCTGAATCGGAAAAGGCATCGTGCCGTGGTTGCACCCAGCAGCTTGGAGAAGGAAACCATGAACTGAGCGACTGAGCTTCAGCTTCGGATCGTCTACGGCTCAAAGCAAGCCAGTGGCAAAAGAAAAGCAGGACAGTCTCATTGTCATCACATTGAGCAATGACGGCGCCCATGCTGGCTGAACAGCGGCATTTCTGATGGTGCTAGCGCGTGTTTTAGACATCCTTGATGCATTTTCAGGCTCTGAAAATGCATCAAAATGTTAAAGATTGGGTTTACTGCATAGCAATAAGTATATGAGCCTGAAATTGTGTTGAAGCGGGACGACCTAAGAAAAAGTGTTCGTTGTGGCGACGATTATTATGCATTGATTCCTATGAACTGCTGACGGGGAATCATGAATTTTTCGTTGTAGCGAAAATTTCGTTAAAGCGGCGTTCAACTGTAACCAATTCCATTCTCCCAGAAAAAAGTGTTGGACCTTGTTACATTTAATCTTTCAGTTCGTATAGCCCTCAGAAAGATTAATACATCGTGAAGAAGTGAAAAGGACATGCACTTGTTCTACACGTCAAGCACTTGGGCTTCTGCGAAACACTGTTATCAAGGAAATGAGGTCCAAATCTACTGGAGCGTGAAATGCTCAGAACACGAGTGCAACAAATTGATAGTAAAGCTCGGCTAAGTCTGTTTCTAACTGTAGAAAACTTGGTTGGAATTCCACCGTAACGCAAAAATGATAGGTTCTCAAAATGTTTCAAGTCAAGCAAACTGCAGCTTGCTTTATTCTCCTGTAACCTACCACAAACTCCCTCGCATAGTGAATACTTTGTGCAGATGGCCCCTGCAAATGTTAAACACTCGAAACCAGATATATTGATTCTGAAGGAGCTCACAGAACATTCTATATACAAGTAATTCAATTTATAAAATATTTTATATATCAAAATATAGTCAAGAGATTATACAATGCTTAATATGCACAATTTTGTGCTTGTGAGAATATTGGAGGACCTTGCATATTTGAGCAAATGCATTATTACAGTGCACAAATATTTTTCAGTTCGAACTTATATTATTGGAAATTTCAAATTGTTTGATAGTGAACGAATAAGGATATATTACTCAACATGTAACCCTCTGCAAAGGTGGTTTCATTGCAGTGGCCGGGTATTATGTGGTGAATACAACTACCCAGAAAAAAATACATACTGCCGCAAAGCCCCACTTCAATGTTACATGACCATATCATCCTCACATTGATTCGTAATCTTTTCAGTTTAAATGCCTGTTGTACTGGGTACAGTCGAGCCCGCTTATAACGAACCTGAGCGTGACGCAGCATCCGTTCACTGTATCCCGAAGTTTGTAGTAAATGAAACACAGCTTTTAAAACAGTTGCGAGTGAAAAAGTCCGTGATGCACGTGTTTCGAAGAGCAGAAGCAATAAGGGCGGTCTCGAGATCATTTAAAACGGCAGGGTGCTCGTTTGCCGAGGCACGTAAAGAAAACTTAGAAAGAGTGCTTGCGCGCAGTAATGTTCGAAGAATCGGTGGCCGTGGTGAAAAATCGTTTTGTTGAGCCGACGGGTTGGTGTGGCCTCACGAACTTCGATATTTCGTGATTCGTTCTGCGCAAACTAACAGCCAATTTCGCGCTTCCGCACGCACGCAGAAGGCATGCTGAGTCAAAGGCGAAGTGAGCGAGAACAAGTCCTAAGCACGAAACAAATCACAAATTGTCAGAGTTGGTGGGGTAGCGTACGCGCGTGCACTAGATGCCGAATATCGGATATAGTCGGTGGCCGACGATGTTGGTAATGGTCAGGTCACTCCAGGCCGGCGACGCCAACGACAGTACCAGCGATAAAAAACAGGGTAGATGGCCGACCACCGGTCTTCGAAAGATCGGTGGCAATGTGAAAACACGGGCCTCGTCTGGCGATGCGGGGTGCTCAGAGAAGCGGGTAGGACAAAGGACAGAGGGGTGCCTAACAAAAAGCAGTCGGGGCATGGAGGAAGGAAACAGCTCGAAGGGTTGGGGAGAGCGGCAACTAGAGGGTCGTGGAGGCAGGGTCGGCGTTTAACAATAGGAATGTATGGGCACTTCGCCGATGCCTGATCGGTGGTGTCGAAATTGGTTTCCCGGGAAGTCGGCAGACCGCTGACTCCATTCACTGTAACCGATCAGCGGCGCTCGGAGACGTTCGTTGTAATTGCGATTTTGTGCCATTGAACCAATGTATATTTTGACGGTCACGCGGATATTGTTCGTTTTAAGCAAAAGTTCCTTTTAAGTGGGGCCGTTATATGTGGGCTCGTCTGTATATAATCAGTGTAGAGTAAATATTAAATTTGACATGTTTTACAAGTTATCTCTTGCATTCCAGCAAAAGTCAAATCTTGCTACTATTCAAAGTTGCTTCCACTTCCTTTGAACTTAGAAGAATGAAATTCGCACATGCCTCGTGTCACTTTAAAAAAAAGAAATGCTGTGCAAGTTATCTGGGTCGTCACTACCCTCATTTTTATTTATATTAGTGATATACACTATCCATATTCATTTAAAAATTATTCGACCAAATCGCTATTGACATTGAATTCGCTTCAACCTGAAATTTACCATTTGCACAGTTATATGTTGGCTCGATACATACATGCAGGTTCAATGGTATGCAAGATGCATCGATGCTATAGTGGCATTTTGACAGCCGAAAATGTCGCCACTTCTGGAGAACGAAGCTGAGCTTGACAAGGTAGAGGCGGCGAACAAGAACTCTGCCAAGAGGGGATCAGTAGTGCAAAGAGACACTCACTTCTTCTTCTGGTAGATGAAGCACATGGCTGCAGCAGCTGCGGCCACGATGGCCACGACCACCAGGCAGATGGCAATTATGGCTCCTTGGGAGATCACTTCTACCAGGAAGCACACGAGAGAGGGAGAAGAAACAAAACGGGAAAAGCAGAAAGAACAGGACAATGTTCAGATTCAAGTTTGAGCAGCAAATGTACAAGGAAAAGGACGCTTGTAGAAACAAGAAAGACAAGCAAATGACTTGCACACTGGTTAAACCACAGATACGGCTCATTCTTGGCCACATCAAGCTTTTACTACATTACAATGCCACGAGCGCTTCTCATTTTCGCTCTTTCTGTATTCGGTTCATGTCCACAATAACTCTCAGCGACTGTCAGCAGAAACCCCGACTCAGTGTTCTGAAGATTCTCCATTGTTGCAGACCGTTCTGTCAAGATTGCGCGCACAACGCAAAGGTTACAGATTCTTCTGGAACTTACGTGGCCGCTGGCGATAAAGCTAGAATATTCAACGGCACATGTATAAAAGCCGGTGCACGTCACCACTTGTCACTTGATTGACGGCCAACACTCTGTTCGCCGCTATCAATGCCAGTGTGTATCGCTATAAACCCGACTTTCAGTTTGCAGGCCACAAGTTCGGCCAAACAAACAGTTTCATTTTGGACGAGTCATCTCTGCCTTCGTCAGCATCACAACCCCGTGACGATAATGTACAGTGCAACATAAGAAGCAATGAGAACAGGGCTGGTACAGGTCTGCAAAGCAAAAGCTTAAGGATATTCAAGGACTTTCCAGGATCGGTCACAGGTTTTTCAAGGACTAAAAGGGCCTGCGCAATGTTGAAATTTTGTTACTCTAGAACTTCCATAAATGACTAATTTTTTATTGCACTTATATACGAGCATATCACAGTTATAAAAAACGTGTCTAGTCTGCAGCTAAGCTCACTTTAGCATCACTTGCTTCACCGCTTTTGCAATAGGGAAGGAGTCAGCACCCAAAAGTGTTACGATTTTCTCTCTTCGTTTGTTCGTGGTTTGAAGCAGTGAAACTTTATTCCCCATGGAGTTTCGGAAAATGAAACCATATTCACTCACGCCAAATTACTGTTTCTGATATGGAAAATTTGTTAGGTTGATGCCAATCTACTTCATTAAGGAGGCTGCAATGTCGATTGAAAGTGCTCAGAAAATTCCAAGGATATTCGAGAACAGAAAAATATTCCAGGGCTTTCAAGGGCCTTAAAAACCCTTGAAGAGGCATTTTTCAAATTCAAGGGTTTTCAAGGACCTGTACGCATCCTGGTCAAGATAGAAAGAGTTAATTTCTTCTCAGCCCCTTGCACAAAGCAGAATAATGTATAGCAGTGCACAGAAGAGTGCTTGCTGAGAGAGAGTGGGTCATGCTTGCATTACGTTCTGTGTTCTGGCTGTTCACAATATGAATAAAGGCCCCATCTTTCCGACCTCAAGTAAAAATTTTCAAAAGACAGCTAGTTCCACCTGTGAGCAGCTGATCCCAATACAACCTAAAGCAGTCTTATGGACAGGCCCACCAAACGTGTAATGGCAGCATTCTATCAGCAGACACTAGCACTATCATCACAGCAGAAGCCGGCCTACATGTACACTTCAGATATCTGATCATTGTTACGTCACCTACTCATACACATAACCTTTCTGGCTAGTGACACTAAGTGACATTAGTGACACTTTCTGGCTAGTGACACCAAGGCATGTCACTGTTTAGAATTTCCCTTTCACTACCACTAATAAGATAATCTTATACCAGACAGTCATTTTGCAAGTACAGTTGACTCTCACTACAGTAAAAGCTCGTAATTCGTATTTCACAGGACCGGAAAAACTGTCCAAATTAACCGAATGCCGAATTAACTAATGAACAGGGAAAACAAAATTTAAAATCAAGCTGCAGAAGCATACCTTTATTTGTTGAAGTATTTTGTAATTGTCTGCATTTTCGCAGACGACAATTTGTAATATTTTGTAATTGTCGATATTTTGTAATTGTCGTCTGCGATTCCGGCTGACATCACAATTTTTCTTAACTGTTCCAAATGGCCAACAGCACGCAAGCTGTCGGGAGTGTTCAGGCAAGCATCCCCTAATATTAACAGCACCTCCGAGACTTCCCGTGAGGTGCGATGAGGTCGCGGCTGTATCTCCTCGCATGATTCTTCGTCGGAATCGTGGTCTTCATGGTCGCCCGTGACATCATTAATAATCTCTTGATCGGTCAGGAGACCACTCGTGGCGACACTATGATCAATCGCGATGTAGTCCTGAAAGGTCACATCTGTGGGAAGGACAGCATCGAAAGTTGGGCAGTCATCGTCGGTGGACTCGGCTGACACCTCCTCGATGCCATCGTCAGCTACTGCTGCATGCTCGGGCCTCACAAAACCGCTGTGCCGAAAACAGTAGGCGATGACTTGTGGAGTGTTTTTCCACACGTGGGCGATGATGTGCACTGCGCCGAGTAAATCCACTTGATACAACTTTCCAGCTTCTGAGCATAGGATCATTCGCTCTAGCAGGTGCTTGTGGTACTTCGACTTCACATAGTGAATCATACCCTGGTCCATCGGCTGAAGAGCAGACGTAGTGTTGGGCAGCAAAAAAACTACTTTGATGCTCTTCAGTTCTACTGTACAGTTATGGGCACTGCAGTTGTCAACAACCATAATTATCTTGCGGTTTTTCGGCGTGAAGTGTCGGTCCAACTGCTGCAGCCAGCCGCGAAAAATGTCCGATGTCATCCATGCCTTCCTGTTCGCTGTGTACTCGACAGGAAGGCTTTTCACATTCTTAAAACAATGTTGCTTAAGCGCCTTCCCGATGACAAGTAGTGGCAAGCGCTCCGTGCCAGTCATATTGGCGGCAAGAAGCACAGTTATCCTTTGCTTGCACTTCTTGCCACCAATGCACGCGTCCCCTTTGAAAGCCACTGTCTTGTCGGGCAGAGCTCTGAAAAATAGAGCAGTTTCATCTGCATTGAACACGTCACGTGGTTCATATGCGGCGATGTGCTCCAGCAGCTTCACATTTCTCCACTTGGTGGCCACGCTTTCGTCAACACTGGCCTTTTCGCCGCACACACTCCTGAAGACAAGTTCGTGTCTCTCTCGAAACCTCGCAAACCACCCTTCTGACGCTTTTAACGATTCAATGTTCAGCATTGCAGCGTACTTCTCACCTTGCGCCATGATGAGAGGTCCGCTCAAAGGCAGATGCGCGTTGCGACAGTCAGTAATCCACCGGAGCAAAGCTTCTTCGAGCTGGGGATGAGCTGCAGTTCGCAACCGCTTTCTAGAGGCGTGAAACTTCTCGCTTGTCGAATCTGTCGTTCATTTTTCACGTACGTTGCTAACGTGCTCCGCTTCACGTTGTACTTGGTCATAACCCGCTGTCGCGATTCGCCGTTCTTCAGTGCTTCCAAAATTTCCACTATAGTCGCCAAGTTCTTCGCGTCGTAGTTCTGCCGCTTTTTCGGCGTTGCCATCACTGTAGCGCACGATGGTGGTGGCATGCAAATACGGTCACAATGGAAGAAAAAGAGAACTCCGCAAGAAGAGATAGTTCCGACACTACAACACAAGGGAAAATGTCGTCGGAGGCGCTGAGTGGAGAAGAAAGAAGACGCCGACGTTCGGTGACGCTGCGATCGCCCCCACTAGTTGATGATGATGGCGATGCCACTCAGGTTTCGGTTTCACTTCAGTGGTGCTAGCGCTGCTTTATCACACTTTTGTGTAGCAGCAGCCGTCAGCATTTGTCCGAGTTAAACGGTGCGGAGCCGAATTCCGACGAAATAACGAAAGTTCGGTCCCATAGATTAACATGCACCTTGGCCGGGACCAATAGAGCCGTCCGAATTATCCGAATTAACGGATGTCGAATTAACGAGCTTTTAGTGTAAATGAAAATCAGTTAAATGGAATGACCGCTTAAATGGAACAATTGTTTCTGACATGACTGGGCTTAGTACTTGTATTCAGCACACTTGTTCATCTTTTGACAAAGACTCCCGTTAAATGAAAGATGTTTCCCTGGTCCCTTCAGGCTCCACTTCACAAGGGTCTACTGCACTTTTCTTTTTCTTTCTTTCCAATTCACCATCACATCTATCCACATCTATTTTACCTTCTCAGAATTTGGATACTGGTTAATTACATTACTTCACTTTCCTTTAAATTTATAAATCACAATGAATCATGCAGTTTCCATTTCTTGCATTATGTCGTAACGCTCACCATATCTTCATCCCTTCACCAATTCCCATACTTCAAGTGTGATAACCAAGTTTAGTGCCCATCAGTAAAGTAGCCCAATGAAATTGGTGGTGAAAAGCTATAGCTCACCCGTGCGTTCAGCAATGACAAAGTAAACTGGACGGGTCCAGTTTCCTGGTCCAGCCAGCGATGAAGCCATCACACGGAAGAGTAGTTACCCGGTGCGAAGACCATGAATAACACGCCCGCCATGTCTAAAGAATTCGCTGTGGGAGACGCAGAACTGGAATGGCTTGAACGGAAAAAGAAGAGGAAAGAGACATCCAATTTGTTCATCAAGCCTTACAATAACAGACTTTTTTGGCTAGTGAGGCTACTTATTCCAGCCATATCTCTGGAACCACTCATTGGATTCCATAAGTCTTTTTTTATTATGTACATGAATAAATTTCTGAGGGGGCGATTTTTTCAATATATTGTGTGTGTGTATTATTATATTTAATCAAAATTTGATTGATAATATCCTAATCACGAACACAAAGTTTGATGGTCTGCTAAAACTTTTCAGCAAGGAAATTCAAAAAAGGGCTCTGTTACCCCCTGGATTATCAATCTGGAAATCATCATAGTTAATTTCACAGTTCCAGGGCCTTTGAAAGTTCTCCAGGCCTGGAATAAGAGAATCATGTGCACTACCCTGATATTCTGCTGTAACTTGAAAACCAGTGAACATAACTTGATGAAATTTTGTAGTTCTTCTAATGCTTTTGCTATAAGTCTATACTGAAAATTTCATTAGGATATCTCAATAAACAAAAAAGTTGGTATCCGATGGTAGCCTCCCCCCTTAAGCGCCTTCCCGACGACAAGTAGTGGCAAGCGCTCTGTGCCAGTCATATTGGCGGCAAGAAGCACAGTTATCCTTTGCTTGCACTTCTTGCCACCAATGCACGCGTCCCCTTTGAAAGTCACTGTCTTGTCGGGCAGAGCTCTGAAAACTAGAGCAGTTTCATCTGCATTGAACACGTCACGTGGTTCATATGCGGCGATGTGCTCCAGCAGCTTCACATTTCTCCACTCGGTGGTCACGCTTTCGTCAACACTGGCCTTTTCGCCGCACACACTCCTGAAGACAAGTTCGTGTCTCTCTCGAAACCTCGCAAACTACCCTTCTCACGCTTTTCGATTCAGTGTTCATCATTGCAGCGTACTTCTCACCTTGCGCCATGATGAGAGGTCCGCTCAAAGGCAGATACGCGTTGCGACAGTCAGTAATCCACCGGAGCAAAGCTTCTTCGAGCTGGGGATGAGCTTCTTCGAGCTGGGGATTCTCTAGTGCTACACAGAAGTCCAGCACTGGAAGCTTCCTTGTTTGCTTCAAAAAGCAGTTTGCGTACTTACTAGATGGCTTACATTTTTGTCTGAAAAATATAAATGAGGATGACGCGAACATTATTAGGAACAGCAGGGAAGCCACAGAAACTGTCAGCAGCATGAGCAAATAGCATCTATCTTGTATTTTTATTGTTCTTTTTTGTACTTCGATAGTAACAACACAGATTCCCATGTGCATCAGCATCAATGTTTGTTGACATGGAAAGTCCGTTAGCTTTCTAATGCCAGCATCCTACTTACACGCACTTGCATAGTACTTGAAGAATTGTCGGTATTCAGATGCCACAATGAATTCTCTGTGAAGTGATGAAGCTGAGTACAATTGCACTGTCGTACCGCACTCGACTGGCTCTGTTTCATACAGGGCAACGTCTACGCTGACCTTCATCATAACGAGGCAGTAATCTTTAGTAATGAGCCAGTAGGAACGCATAACACGTCATGGTGTGCGAACTCGTATAGTCAAAACGACTGACTATACCGACTTTTTGGTTTTTGTAAGGCATACATGTGTTGCCTCTTCAATAACTTCCAGTAGCAAGTGTGCACTTGTGCTGCCTTCCTCTTCTCCAAGACCTGTAATGTACTGCATCCCACTTCTTGCATTCACAATCAACCTTTTACCAACTAGACCAAATGACTATTTTGCTACATAATCTTAATTTCCTAGAAATCAACTCTGCTCAATGAATTTTTTCTTTTTTTTTCTTTGTCACTATAGTTATTCTAAACTCCCAAAAATTGCACCCCACCTTGTATCAAGCTTTTTTTTTTTTCTTCAACTAGTTGGCATTCTATGATTTTGAGTAATGTGGCGAGAGGTGAAAGTTCCACTTAATGAGGACAGAAAATAATAAAGGAAAAGAGGGGCAACAGCTTTGCTGAAGTGATAATGTCAAACCCAACTGCACTCTTCAGGACGCACGTGTGCAAGGCGTCCTTTTAATGCACAGAAAAAAATGAGATAACATCAACAGATAATTGAGAGCTGTTTTCCGAGAAATATATATTTTTTTGCCTCTTCATTTCCTTTGAAGGTTCCTTTGAAAGAAATGAAACGTGCCGAACCTTTTCTTGGTTGACCATTTTGTACTCGACTTGGTAAGACACAATAAACCCATTGGGGTCTGGCGGTGGTGCCCACTTTACAAAGAGGCCGCCGACGCTTCCATCAGAAGTGGTAGTATTTTCGTGCTGGACCACACTGAAGAGCTGTCGATATCGTCTGCATCAGCTGTACCACCGCAAAAAAGAAAACAATATTCAAGTTCCAACTTTCCCTAAACTTATACCACCCAAATCCACCAACTTATCGTGGCATGAAGTTGCTACATAAAAATCTTTCAGCGGTATCACTGCATTTGAAAGCAGAAGTGCAAGCGAATAAATGACACAATTGACAACATACCACTTTTTCACAAAGACACGGCGCCCCGTAAGCTGCTATGCTATGAAATGCTAGAGGTAATGTGCAGATGAACGGTAAACCACGTTTCAACAACAATTTATCCGGTAGCTCAGTCAAAAAGGGTGTGCTATTCGTAACGCATGCACAACAATGATAAATTTTCATTTATATATCCTATACAGAGACAACGCACATCTGACAATGTTTCCCTTCTGCCACGAGGCACTGTACTGTTGTTGGCTGCAATGTGGAGTTACGATCATTTATGCAGTGGCCCATTTTTGAGAAGCGATTAATGATCAATGTTTATCAATCCTGTTTCATTGATCTTTTCTCCAAAACGCGAAAAATACGATGACTCTTACGAAGGGGAAGTGTGCGGAATCCGTGTGAGGGACTCAACGCTGCAACACATTGGCTCGTTCTCAAACTTTGAATCAGTCTCACAATTGTAGAGAGGCTGCTTGAGCCGGTTCAGCAACTTCTTGTGACAAGCAAGGACCTGCACAAAACAGAAATGGCACTGAAATGCCAGACAAACACTAGTAGCCGGGAATGACCTCCTTAAGCTATGGTCAGTGGCCACCAATGTATATAATTGAGAACATGTAAAAAAGACTATACAGTGCAAGGTTGTGTAACAAATGTCAAGACAAATATAATTATTAGCTACAAGAAGAGCTAAACTGGAAACTCTGGATTAAGTTATACAGCTTGAGTTTGTTATGTTTTTTTTTTGATGTGCACCTTAATTAAGGGGAGACACGGGTATGGGAGGCTGAAAATTTTCCGGAAAACCGATTTTTGAAGTATGTTTTTTTCATAATCATTAAGGTCTAAGGAAGCGTTCCTAAAATATTATAGCCCTGTAATGCGTATTTGTCGAGTTGTATTGGGTCGCAAAGTCAGTTTGATTACCATTTTTGCTTCCGAAACCACCTCAAAAACGGTTCGTATCACGCCGCCAGAGCGCGCGAGAACCGCACCAAGTAGCGCGGCCATTTTGGTCTCATTTTAAAGACGCATTTTTCTATTATCTGTTCCTAGCAGAAGAACGTTTTTTGTCTAGCAACAAAGCAGCTATCCGCGCATAATGAAAGAGCTGGAATACTCCGCACATCATTGGTGCGTTTATTGTCACGTGGGGCCAGTTCCCGGTTTTCAATCCCCGATTTGGACGCGAAGGAATTTCGTCTGCTAGCACAGCGGCGAGGTGCGTGCAAGCCGCCATTTTGCGTAGCGGGCCTAGACAATGGGCTGTGCATTCGGGTGCCATGCAGGCGGTCGATCGGAAGTTCCGGAGTGCTCATGCGGTTCGGAAAAAGGCGAAAACGGCGTCCGAGAGTCCGCACCTTATTACCAGCCGAGACCTTCTTCTGCGCCGAGAACTCGGAAGAGCAGAAGCCAGGCTGTATCCGCGCTAGTATTGCCGCGGTCACCCGCAATCGCGGACGCGATAGCCGCAGTCCCGGAGAGTCACACGAGAGCTGTGCGCGTCGGACACTCCCCTGGTTTCCGACGCTCAAAATAGTGGCCATCGAGTGTCGTGCGAGCGATGTGTTCTGCAAGATCTTTCATCGAAGTCTGCCACAAAACGCAAGCGGTCTTTTTTTCGAGACTCGTATGGAGCCGCAACGCCTGGTACACCGTTCACCGTCGTCAGCTTAGAGTTGGTCAACGAACTTCTTCAGTGTATGAAGTGAGGTGTGTGTGGCGGGCCTGGCAGAATCTCCAAGGAAGACCGCGAATATGGCATAGCCGCGAAACTTGTTCTCACATGCGATGAGTGCGGTAAACTGAGGACCATATGGAGCTCGCTGAGAGCAGGGGGGGACGCAGCGCACGGCCCCTTCGAAATTAACGTGCTCGCGGTTCGAGCGGCAATGAGCACAGGAAACGGGCAAACTGCACTCAATGGTATTTTTTACGCCCTAAATATTTCCTGGAGAGGCCTGCACACCAAGACATACCAGGATTATGTGAAATTGAAAGTCAACCCTGCCGCGCAAAAGGTTGCCGCGCGCGTTATTGACGACTGTGCGAGCACCGTGAAAACGGTGTATTCCGAACTCAACTATGGAAATCCTGGAAATATCGCCGTTTCCTTTGATGGGACTTGGCTGACCAAGGGCCACTCATCCCATATTTGTGTAGGGACCGTGATTGAACTAATCACGGGTTATGTGCTCGACTTCGTCATCCTATCGGACTTTTGTTTGGGCTGCCAGCTAGGGGCCGAAGGAGGACAACCCAAGGTATGCCGAGTGGCTAGCTGGTCACACTTGCCAAAAGAATACCTCCAGTAAGCCAGGACAAATGGAGGTGGAAGCAGCACAAATTTTATTTGGCCGCTCATTGGAGAGACATGGGCTCCGCTACACAACCATGTTGTGTGATGGA